CGCAGTCCTCCCAGGTTTGAATCTTGGCGGGAGTACCTCGGTGCGACAAGCCGGGCCGGGCCTGCAGCCCAATCACCCCCGCCGCAAGGCAGGTGGCCTGGGCAACACTGTCTCACCGTGAGACTCTCACGACAGGGTTGGCGAAAAGCGGACTATCCGTCGGGGATCACAACGGTCAATGCGACCTGTGGTCCGCAGGACTACATCCCTAGTACTGGTCGGACGATCACACCTGGCCCGGCCAGGTAGGAAAGAAAATACCAATACTCAGGATAAAATTTGTCAGATGCATCCTATCCTACGTATTGGGAGAGAGGCTTATAGTGAGCATCCTCGCCGACGTCTATTCTTGGAGCAGACCTCCTGGTCACTCTTTCAGGACTTTGAGGGTGCAAGACAGTTGGAGGAGGCGAGGGTTAGAGCACATCTCGATGTTAACGTCACACTAGTGCGTGATTTCGCATCCCCGCATAATGGTTGAAATCACGTGGCCAGCTCGTATCCTCAATCGATGACGATTTTAATACTTCACTAACACCCGAGACATCACCAAAGAACAGCGTAAGACATCGAAGTCTGCTCTCATCATGATTAACAACACATCCACTTCATGGTGATTCCTCGTACCTTGAAATCTCGGCTCCATTCTGCTCTAGTAGTTCAATAGCTCTGTCCTTCTTTTCAATGAGAAATTTCTCAAGCCAAGCTCTACCACTATTCTCGTACTCGACCTTCGGGCGAGTCTCAATGAATTCGAGCAGCTCTCTGCACTGACGATCGTTCATGACGCCATCGATCCGTTTTTTGAGTTCATCCATGATATGAGCAAAAGGGAAGATCTCCGCGAATGTGCTTTTTATATCACCCGCCAAACCCTTTATCGTGCCTGCTGCCGGGCCATTACTGTACTGTAGCCAAGCGTTCCCGTTGGGCTTCTCCCTGGCAACACGCAATCGGAATGAGATCCCGTCGGCGGGAGCTCAGCTCCCGGAGCTGAGTATCGCTCCAGTGTCACCTGTATTCGAAGGAATTGATATCTGCTCCGGCTGAGTCTTCCCATACATTGACTATAACCGCGATACTGCCGCCATCGAAGAAATCACGAAGAACACTGAGCTCGCTTCCTGGATAGAAAATCCTACACATTCTCCTAGAGGAGGATACCTGAACGACACGACTGAACAGTCGCTTCCCGGGGCTATGTTGCACCTTCACCGCTCCGTCACGGGTTGCGTCGCCAGCCTGAAGGATATTCAATGAGGATGCTGGCAGAGCGCTGCGTCCTCGCTGTTACCTGGATCTTACCGGACTGCATCTCAATCGCCGTGGTTAGAGCTAAAGTTGAGAGTAGACCCCAGCAGCTGACACGGAGCATCGCAAATGCCGGATTGGAAACAGCGAACTCAAATGAACTCCGTGACTTCCCAGCTAGCGAGGCATCTTCAGTGAAGAATTCGGGGTTGAATTATCCCGACCTTCTTTAGAGTGTTCAGAAATCAAAAATCAGGTGAGTTCAGAGTGAATTGCGTGAAGAATATCAACGCCCCTTGGCTCCAAGGGGCTTGATGATGGCTCCATGATGGCTTGGCGCTATCAATCATGAGATTGATTTTCGACGGAAGCCGGCATCCGGGGGAGTGCGTTAAGTTTCGAGTTCTTCTTAGCAGTACTTTCAGACTGCTGTCAATCGCAAGTTCAACGGAAAGACTACGCATGACGTCGATCTCTGTCCGTTACACCACGGATCGCCAGGGCGGGCCCCCGGCCCAAGAAGCGTCTCCGCAGAGTGTGAATCGATGATATATTCCGATTGAGCTCCTGAGAACTCCCTGGATGACCATAAGCCAGCGCGGCAAGGGCCTCCGCCCGCGAGGAAATTATTAACCTTGACAGTTTCGAGCACAATGTTAAATCAAAGGCGAGCGAGAATGAAAGCGACGGAGGTGCTTGTGATGGTCTCATTGCAGCTCAGATTGGTCATTACAGCTGGCGTGAAACACTGTGATGTTCAGGGCTCCTCAGGCGCGGAGAAGTGCGGAGGGTGGCGGGATTCCCGCCGCGGGAGGGAGACTACCGTCGACCTATTGGCTGATACCAGATGGTTCGTGCAAGAGCAGTTCAATGATGCTATCTTCTGTTTAAGCCTTAAACTTTAAGGTAGATGATCAGCTTTTTGTATCCTTGCTCGCGCTTGCTTCATCCTTGCTTTCATAGAAGGTCGTTGATCTGCTATTGCCTGAACCGGGCTCGTGCTCGTGCTTGTTCCAGTATTTCTCGCTACTCAGTGTTCGCATGCAGATCTCTCATCTTGCTCGCACTCTGCGAGTCGCAGAGTCCCGACAATTGCCGATACATACACGGCCATGAAGAAATTAAAGTCACCAGGCGTAGTCCTGCTCGGAGATGAAGTGCATCAAATAGAATTCTCGGCTAAGTCGCTGAGGTGAGGCTTCAGCCTATTGCGTTTCGGCTCTGCACTACTCTCAGTTTCGTGTCATCACACGTGGAAGGCGTGGAGGTGGGAGACGAAACGTCGGGTGGAATTTATGTTGATTTTTTACTCCCAGAAAAGAGCGATACGTATGCAGGGTCCACGGGTACATCGTTTGACCTAGTAGGAGCCGCGAATCGAACTCTATGATCCTTCTCATTTCTCCATCCTTGCCCATGAGATTGGTACGTCCGCGTCAGCGTCGTTTCTCTCCGCCAAGTATTGGGCGGTACATGACACGCCACTGTCGATAGATGGCATTCCAAGCAGAGATATGTTCGCATGAAAGAGTTTCTGGTTTTGTTTCTTTCGAACTGGTGGTCGAGTTTCTGAGGATCTAACGTACTTGGTATTCTGGATGGTAGACGACGACTGAACGTTCTGATCGGACGTGCTGCTCGAGAGGAGCTCGTTTTGTCGAACCTCCTTCAAGGAGCGAGTTACTCGGAGTAACTTACTCCTCCTTATGGTTGACAACGGATTAGAAGAGGGTAGACTGAGTAGGTTACACCATTTACTATATGGCATATAGAGGCACCAGTCAAGTAACTACTCCGTTCAGTTCTTTGATTTGAATTTAAAGGGCGCATACGAATGATTGGCATGCGCCGATAGATCATCCCCATGCCCCTGTCGACTGTTTATGTGCTTCATTCAAGCTAACCGGCAATAGCTCAGTTGGTAGAGCGTCCGACTGTAGTGATGTAGATATCGGATGGTCCCTGGTTCGATTCCGGGTTGCCGGATTTGAACAATTTTGGCAGTCGTTTGCAGACAGTCTTTGTGTAATTTTTGCCGTCGCGTGTTGTTGTAGCCTAGAACGTCTCTATTGTTTAGTACGTGTAGCCCGTCTAGCTCAGTCGGTAGAGCGCAAGGCTCTTAACCTTGTGGTCGTGGGTTCGAGCCCCACGGTGGGTGTTTTGGTATCTTGAGTTTGTTCACATGATTGAATCGACCTTAAATGCTATAGTAGTTGATCCGAAGCTACCATTATGTACCGGTTACGAAGTAGGCGCGTTTAGTTCGGAGACGGAGACAATACCAAAATCAGTTCCTCGAATTTTCCGTGAGCTCAGGGGAAACTAGTTGCATGAGTGCTTCAACAGCTACACTGTCTATAAAGTACAGTAGCTTGTGCGTTGTAGTTGATTTCGATATTAACCCCTCCCGCCCACACCTGTGTTGGAGGCTCTGGGACGGTTCGACGTCGCCCAGGTCAGACCTGGGCGACGTGGTTAGGAGTCCTAACCACTTCGCTCTAGAACCGTGAATCAACGTGGCAATCGTACGTCCGTAGGTCAGGTAGTAATATACGTGATGAAGAATAAGCAGCTGAAGGTACGTAAAGCTGGGTCCCAGCTGCTGGGACTATGACGTTCTAGCGGGTGACGAGGCCTGGGAGATCTTCACGGACTCTCAGGCGGTACTCAAGATCCTGTCGTCCCGTGCATCCACGGCCCGGTGGGATAAGGCGAGACAGATCTATCTGTCCTTGTCCGAAATCCCTGGTAGGGTATCCCTTCGATGGGTACTGTGGAGACATCCACTGTGTTAAAGCTCTATGATATTTTAGCTGTGTAAGCTGTGCTAGACTACATCGGATGTGAGAATAAGTTAAGTTATAACCATTGTTTGTTATAATCGGTATCTACATTCTCTATAAGTACTTTGGTTTATGAATTTGCAGAGTAATGATGGAACTGAGACGACGGGACGTGAAGTAAACCCCGACAGGTACCGGGGCACAGTTCCATCAGTGCCAACGAACGGGCCGATGAGCTGGCAGCCAAGGGTGCCTCCATGAGGGAAGTCTCTGCGGAGACGGAAATCAGTGTGAGGACTCTTCGGCGGTATCAAGGAGAAGCTGGCCGTCTGTCACTGCGCAAGTGGTGGTCAGACAAGAGAGCCAGCCTGGGCACTTCTGTGAACGACTTCTTTTACTGCGCTTCACACACTCGTTTGTGGATCCGCGGGGAAGCCACGGCAGCTAGCAGTGCCGTGGTATTCGGAAGGACCCCAACCCCAGCCCATCTCTATAGATGCGGGTTGGTCAACTCGCCAGAGTGTGACTGCGGGGCGCCGGTGGGGAACACGCGGCACTACCTCCTCTCCTGTCCGCTCCTGTCGCAGGCTAGGAATAGGGTCAAAGGTGGTGTCCCCAACCATTTATATAAACTAATTGTTGATTTGAAGCGACGCAAGTCCTTCAATCAACTTTGTTCGGCCCTCATGCAGTATCTCGATGCTCGCAGGGGCTTATTGTAGTGCGGGGCAGGCACAACTTTTTTCCGCCTCTGTTTTGTACTAGGCTCACCATTGAGTATTTGCTGTCAAAAAAAAGAAACAAATAAATAGCAGCAGCGGGAGCAAGCGTCGGAGGACTGGCGACTGGGACGGTGACCGCGAGGATGGAGGAAGATGCAGAAGAAGTCGGTCGAAGCCTTAGAGCAGGGAGACGTGATGACTATTCATGTATTGCGCGTTATTAAGGAACGTTTCAATCTGAATCTGACGTTCTAGCGGAATTCGAACCCAAGTCGCTGGATTCGAAGTCCAGAGTGCTAAGCAGTACACTATACAACCGTGAATGATGCGTTATCATGAACCTGGGCAAACACCGAACGCTACACGGTATCCGTCAGACACCGGCATGTGAATCGGTCAGCCGCAATCGTGGCAGCGGTGAGCATACACACGATACGGTACTTGCCAGGGCATGATGAGCCCGCGAGACCTGGTCGGTAACAAACCGCACCAGAGCCTCCAACGCAGGTGTGGGCTGGATGGGGTTACAATCAAATGAAACTATTAGACCTGACGATGTGCACAGACCAACCACAGAACGGTTGCACCACTCTAGCTCGCGAAGCGCCGAGCTGAGCGGACGCAATTGTGCTATTGTCTCCGCCTCGTAACTGAACGCGCGTACTACGTAACCGGTACTTCTCAGGAGCAATCGTACGTCCGAGGCCAGGTAGTAATATACCTGATAAAAAGTAAGGAGCTGAAGCTACGTAAAGCTGGGCCCTTGAGGTTCTATCGGGATTCGAACCCGAGACGCTGGATTCAAAGTACAGAGTGCTAACCACTACACTATAGAACCGTGGATGAGGCATTCTCAGATGCAATCGTATGCCCGTAGGCCGGGTAGTAATATACCTGATAAAAAGTGAGGAGCTGAAGCTACGTGAAGCTAGGCCCTTAAGGTTCTACCGGGATTCGAACCCAGGTCGCTGGATTCAAAGTCCACAGTGCTAACCACTACACTATAGAACCGTGGATGTGGCGTTCTCAGATGCAATCGTATACCCGTAGGGCAGGTAGTAATATACCTGACAAAAAGTAAGGAGCTGAAGCTACGTGAAGCTGGGCCCTTGAAGTTCTATCGGGATTTGAATCCGAGTCGCTGGATTCAAAGTCCACAGTGCTAACCACTACACTATAGAACCGTGGTTGAGGCATTCTCAGATGCAACCGTATGCCCGTAGGCCGGGTAGTAATATACCTGATAAAAAGTAAGGAGCGGAAGCTACGTAAACATGGGCCTTAGAGGTTCTATCGGGATTCGAACCCGAGTCGCTGGATTCGAAGTCCAGAGTGCTAACCACTACACTATAGAACCGTGGATGAAGCATTCTCAGATGGAATCATACGCCCGTAGGCCAGATAGTAGTATAGGTGATGGAGAGTAGGGAGCTGAAGCTGGGACTATGACGTTCAAGCGGGATTTGAACCCGAATCGCTGGATTCAAACTCCAGAGTGCTAACCACTACACTATTTAACCGTAAATAATGAACGAATGAGGCCCCCCATTGAATATTTGCGAAAAAAGTAAAAAAACAGCAGGTGGAGCAAGCGTGCGAGAACTGGCGACTGGGACGTTGACCGCGAGGATGGAGGAAGACGCAGAAGAAGTCGGTCGAAGCCTTAGAGCAGGAAGACGTGATAATTAAGTCATGTATTGCTCGTTATTCAGGACAGTTTCAATCTGAATCTGACGTTCTAGCGGAATTCGAACCCAAGTCGCTTGATTCGAAGTCCAGAGTGCTAAGCAGTACACTATACAACCGTGAATGATGCGTTATCATGAACCTGGGCAAACACCGAACGCTACACGGTATCCGTCAGACACCGGCATGTGAATCGGTCAGCCGCAATCGTGGCAGCGGTGAGCATACACACGATACGGTACTTGCCAGGGCATGATGAGCCCGCGAGACCTGGTCGGTAACAAACCGCACCAGAGCCTCCAACGCAGGTGTGGGCGGGATGGGGTTACAATCAAATAAAACTATGAAACCTGACGATGTGCACAGACCAACCACAGAACGGATGCACCACTCTAGCTCGCCAAGCGCCGAGCTGAGCGGACGCAATTGTGCTATTGTCTCCGCCTCGTAACTGAACGCGCGTACTACGTAACCGGTACTTCTCAGGAGCAATCGTATGTCCGAGGCCAGGTAGTAATATACCTGATAAAAAGTGAGGAGCTGAAGCTACGTGAAGCTGGGCCCTTGAGGTCCTATCGGGACTCGAACCCGAGTCGCTGGATTCAAAGTCCAGAGTGCTAACCACTACACTATAGAACCGTGGATGAGGCATTCTCAGTTGCAATCGTATGCCCGTAGGGCAGGTAGTAATATACCTGATAAAAAGTAAGGAGCTGAAGCTACGTAAAGCTGAGCCCTTGAGGTTCTATCGGGATTCGAACCCGAGACGCTGGATTCAAAGTACAGAGTGCTAACCACTACACTATAGAACCGTGGATGAGGCATTCTCAGATGCAATCGTATGTCCGAGGCCAGGTAGTAATATACCTGATAAAAAGTGAGGAGCTGAAGCTACGTGAAGCTGGGCCCTTGAGGTTCTATCGGGACTCGAACCCGAGTCGCTGGATTCAAAGTCCAGAGTGCTAACCACTACACTATAGAACCGTGGATGAGGCATTCTCAGTTGCAATCGTATGCCCGTAGGGCAGGTAGTAATATACCTGATAAAAAGTAAGGAGCTGAAGCTACGTAAAGCTGGGCCCATGAGATTCTATCGGGATTCGAACCCGAGACGCTGGGTTCAAAGTACAGAGTGCTAACCACTACACTATAGAACCGTGGTTGAGGCATTCTCAGATGCAACCGTATGCCCGTAGGCCGGGTAGTAATATACCTGATAAAAAGTAAGGAGCTGAAGCTACGTAAACATGGGCCTTTGAGGCTCTATCGGGATTCGGACCCGAGTCGCTGGATTCAAAGTCCAGAGTGCTAACCACTACACTATAGAACCGGGGATGAAGCATTCTCAGATGGAATCATACGCCCGTAGGCCAGATAGTGGTATAGGTGATGGAGAGTAGAGAGCTGAAGCTGGGACTATGACGTTCAAGCGGGATTTGAACCCGAATCGCAGGATTCAAACTCCAGGGTGCTAACCACTACACTATTTAACCGTAAATAATGAACGAATGAGGCCCCCCATTGAATATTTGCGAAAAAAGTAAAAAAACAGCAGGTGGAGCAAGCGTGCGAGAACTGGCGACTGGGACGTTGACCGCGAGGATGGAGGAAGACGCAGAAGAAGTCGGTCGAAGCCTTAGAGCAGGAAGACGTGATAATTAAGTCATGTATTGCTCGTTATTCAGGACAGTTTCAATCTGAACCGTTAATAATGTGTCCTCAGGAGCAATCGTATGTCCATAGGCCAGGTAGTAATATACCTGATAAAAAGTAACGAGCTACGTAGAGCTGAGGTTCGATCGGGATTCGAACCCGAGGCGCTGGATTGAAAGTTTAGAGTGCTAACCACTGCACTACAGAGAAAAAAGATTCATAAATGGTCCGGTTATGACTCATAATCATGGGTAGAATGAGTTTGGCGCTAACACTTTCGGATCAAGCTAGTTATTAGGTGCTTCCTCAGTTGCCGTACGGCATTTGGATCGAAAGTGAATATAAATTGCACTTCACTACTAAAACGTGCGATTGCGCTGCCCGTGATAAGTCGTTACGTGACGTGGTGAAGTGGAGGCTGTGGTGTTTAGTCATGTATTGCTCGTTATTAAGGGCAGTTTCGATCGATGAGTCGTGATCTTCTGAGAATTTTCTAATTTTCGATTTCTCCCCAGCCATGTGTGTGTGAGTTTTAAGTGCAACGCCGAGAAGCGGCTTAGTCAGATTAGCACCGATGTATCTTGTTTCAATAGGGATGAGTTTAGGCAAGTTTATTGAGCACAGGAAGTAGCGCTCAGGTAGAGGGCCGGGCAAACCTAAGATACTTTTTTTTCTCCCGGCAGGATCCGCTTCCACAACTGGGGAGGCTGTGCACGACCACGAAACACCAACTCTTCCCACAGTGTGTCGACCACAAGCTTCATCTCCGAGACTCGAGAAGTCCATATCCTAGAACTTGACTCCCCTCCTACCGATGCTAACACTCTCGATGGCAACCTTTACAGGTACTCATTAAAATTCCCTCGAATTCGGTCGCTTAACGCAGCTCTTGCTTCAATTTTGCTACAGCCATAGCTGTACATCGGCTCACGCATGTTGTTATTTGCCCCATCCATGAAGGGTACTGTCTTCAAACTTGGAAGGTATATGCGCTACAGCATATAAGCGTACCTACTCAGGCCTCGTGATGCGAGATGATCTCATGAAAGGACAAAATGCCGAAAAGACCGTTTCACTGAGAACTTGCTGCCCTTCCAAGACGTGTCGAGTTCGACGAGTTTTGGGTGGGTCAAGTGTGTCACTGGAACAGAGTTTGGGTTCTACGATATTCGAGACTGAATGAAACGAGTTATAGGGAATCCTCAAATCCTGCCGAGGCAGCGAGGGGAGTCGTCAATCCGAGTGACTCACTTTCGTTCTTGCTACTTGTATTCTCCGTGAGTTGATCGAGATCCCAAACCCCGTAGACTATGGGCTGCAGCTGGAGACTTCCCGAGATCCACGACGTATGTTCCTATCAGCTACTGCGCCCGACAAGCAGTTGTGCGCTACAATTGAACTGAGCACAACAAAATTCAGCGGTACACCAGCGCAGGGAGACGGAAAACTTCATGCAGATAATCGGCTCCAACTTAGAACATTTCCATCATCGCCGGCGCCGATGAGGCCGGCTTGGACGACACCGAAGCACCTGCAGGCAGAAAGTACCCCCAGTGATTAAAGCGTTAATAGGAAGTCACCACATAGTGCCCCGACCTCACCGAAGTGCATTCTCGGCTACTTTCTCGTGATAGCGGAGTTGGCCAGTTGTGACATCTCGCACAGCCACGGTTCCGTCCCCACCAGCAGTACACAACTGAGTCAACGGTACTGCCGATTCTTGAAATTCCATAAGCGACAAACACGACCGGTGTGGCTCAGCCCGAGGGGCAAGTGTCGCCGTGAACCCTTCGCTGAGTTGTAACGGACATGATATTAGTTGCTCACCTGCGTCCCAAGAAGTATCGATGCATAGATGAAGTTCTCATGATCCTTTTCCCATCTGCTCGCGATGGAGAAATCCATCTTCGCGTCCAACACCTTCAAGAAAAGCTTCTTAGACGCTAAAATTTGCTTCGGAGTGCAAAAAAATAAGAATAACATTGACAAGATTCTACTGGACTATTCGAGACATTGAAAATTACCATTCAATCCCGGTCTTCGTCAGACCAGAGTTTAGTTTCAAGAGCGGTACGTTAAAGTTAAGCGGTACGTTCAAAGGCTGGTTAGTAAGCCGTACTGTCGGCGTTGGACTTTAAACTCATACACACACGGTGTGTGACACACCAGAGTTGAGGTTCAAGATCGCCTTCAGGATCGACTTTTCCACTGTACATTCAATCCTGGAGGCGTTCTTGGGATTTTGTGGAGGTCTATCGAGCACTCAGAATGGCGAGCGTCGTCGAAATAATCGAAGCAAGGAACTCACATTCACAACCCCATCGGCGCCAACAGTGATGAGGCTGTCTTCATCACGACTCGCGTGCATGTCGCTCACGGCAGCTCCTTTGACGTGGAGATCTTGGAGTCGCTTCAGCGGACGTCGGGTATCAGAACGCGGGTCCCAGACGCATATCACACTATCTTGTCCGCCCGAAACGATTAACCTTCGAAAGCCAATCACGCAACCACGCTGCCAAACCACAGGCAGGCGTCAGTTTGACGCCACGCGCTTCTTACGCGCTTCTGACGCCGTGAGAAGCGCGTAAGAAGCGCGTGGCAACAGCATCAGCGTCCTCGATGCATTCTAAGCGAGCACCAGTCGTAGACCGACTATCTCACCGTGAGGCGGGTCAAACTCGCGGTTTCTAAAACCCGTTTATGTCTCACCTTGTATCTTGCAGGGACTTCAATGCAGTAATGTGACCTTTCGAATGCCCTCGCAAACAGGCCACCTGATTGATAGTCTGATTTAAACAGTATTGAGTACTAGACCAACCTTGGCTTGATGCCAAGGTTGTATTGCTCATTACTAGTCATGTAGTCATGTACTGCTCGTTATTAAGGACAGTTTCAATTTGACCTTGGCTTGATGAACAGAGCCTATTTAACAGGCTGAACTAATACCCCTCAGATGGTACATCAGTACTAGTCCAACTAAGCCGTACTGTCGTAGGCGTTGGACTTTAAACTCATACACACTAGACCAACGATATGGAACAGTCGAATACTCTACCCAATTCGAAGCCCGCGGAGAGTGCCATCAAGTAGGGACGAGAGTCATCCAAGGCACTCCAGTGAATGGCAAGAACCCATCGAAGGCGTACCAGGTACGCCGTACCTCAGTCCCGGGGTGGGCGTC